AACACAGCAAATCCCCGCAGAAGAGACTCGGACTTGGAATACTCAGAAATCAGACCAAAAGAACAGCAGTTTCTCAGAAATAGCAGGAGTCTCAGACAGCAATTTTATGCGGGTTATTGCAGTAGAGAGAACCAAAAATAGGAGGAATTTGAAAGAATGATCAAAACCACGGCAAGAGCCCCCCCAAATCCCAAACACTAACACTGGAAGTGTAATCCCTTGATCAGTAGAAAACACTAATTAAAATCACAAACTTTACGGAAAAGACCATCATCCTAATATTCGGTAGAGTCTTATACGAAATGCTCAGTAGAAGAAGGACAAAGAACAGGTCATAGGAAACAAGGTGCAGAACTGCTCAGCGGTAGAAACGCGTGAAGACATCAGCCAGCCCGGCCGGTAGGGTTAGTACGCAGGACAAACATAGAGGCTGCAGAAGTATCACCAGACTACCGTCTTCCCGCCGAACATAAGGCACCCTGATAACGAACGTGCACAAGTTAACTTTCCGGTCGGATACAGTCAAAATGAGGGTGCGCTGTGTTCAGGGGTAAACGGTAGGCCTGGGGTGCAGCAGAGGTAACAAAATCCTTCCTCCTTAGGAAGCAATCAATGCCGCTGTCTCCGGGTCCTTTCGGCATAAAGGACGGAAGTAAGGAAGCATAGAGCGCGTAATTCCGTAAGGTTTGACAAAGGGCCGGAATAGGGAAGAGCTTGCAGTGAGTAGGCCAGGTCATCAACCCAGGTCATCAGGGTGCCTTACGTTCGGGGCCGGAATAGGGAAGAGCTTAGTATATCATTTGGTGCAGTGAGTGGGCCAGGTCATCAACCCAGCAGTAGTAGTGCTGCTGCTCTGCCAAACGGCCGGAATAGGGAAGAGCTTGCAGGGTGAGGGGGGGGGGGGGGGGGGGGGGGGGGGGGCAATGTAGGTGTGGGGGCGTTTTTTTTTTGGGGGGGGGCCCGGGAAATCTTTTTTTTTTTTTTTTTTTTTTTTTTTTTTTAGCGGGCGGCTCCATCTATTGGTGGGGAGCATCACCTGCTGGAAACCGGGTCCAGCGTCCCTTACATAACGCATTGACATACATCATCATGAGACACGATGCCACTGCTGGAAACCGGGTCCAGCGTCCCATATCCGAAAAAGTTGTTCAACCCCTTCTACGGCCGGGCCAGGAGTTTGAATTTGAGTTCTGAGGGCTTCCCCCTGGCCCCCCCTGGCCCTGGCACAAATTGCCGCCCTGGCACCAGAGGGCCCCCCGGAGATCGACCCCCTGGTATGGCTGCAGGACAGATACTGGAGGCTACCAAGGAAATACAAGAACGGGGACCCTGCGGACAAACACTGGCTGCGCTTACTACGCACATGGAGGAAACTCCCGCCGCCCGACCGATCGGTTCCTGATCGATGGGAAGAAATCTTCAGGCAACCGCTGTTTGGAAATCGTCTGATTACGGATGCCTTGGGCCAGGTGAGATGCAGCTCAGATACCCCTTGGAAAGGCTGGGTTAAACACGGCGCTTGTAGGGTAGGGGATCTGTGGGATATAGAGGAAAGACGCTGGAAGAGTGCAGAGAGGATGCGTGCATGGCTGCGCTACTGTCATCTCACGGAATCGGCGCTAAATGACCTCATCGAGAGTTTCCCTCTCCAATGGTATAACATCCTTCGGAAAGGCCCTCGATTGGAAGAAGGAGACTGGGTAGGATTACTCGATCACGAGAAGGAGGTAGGGCAGGTACATTTAGTCGATCCAACGCAGGCACTAATCGAGATCTTCTCAGTCCAAAGGGACGGCACACTACCGGGTAGCCAGGATCCC